CTAGAAGAAGTTGTATTGGTTGAAAACATGTTTATTGACTCTTTAAACGGGACAGTAGAAAGGGAAAAAGTGAGTCGAGCCACATTATAATCAGCCCCTCATTTCATTTTGTTTATGTTGCACGTGCCCCAAATGTAAAATCGTTATTCAATGCATCATGCACGGACTACTAATATATTACATAAGCTATCAATTGGGTAGGTCATATACATATATGTAAAATTGGCATCTACTCTACTCGAAAGGAATAAACTACACATTAAACAAATTCTTTCTCGAGCCTAAAAAGAATGTCTTCCAAAAATGTGTTGCAATACACAATACGAACCATATTTGACCGAAATGGGTGTTAATAATTGTTCAAGCATTTGTTTATACAGATAAATTAAAAATATTGTTATTCGTAGCAAAGACTTTCCAGCCTCAAAGAAAATGTATATCAATTTACATTGAGCGAGTATTTACCATTCTTAACAACCTGACTTTGAAGGGCTGTAATACAAGCAAGTCAATTTTCTAACGAATCGGAATTCTTATTGAAAAGACGTTTTGATAAAATTACGTCGAGTTTAACAAGCCAAAATGTATTAATCTCAGCATTTGATGATGTGGTTTTGTCTTTTTCATTTGTAGACCAATTATTCCAGTCTACTGTTGGAATTATTATGGGCCAAACGTTTCATTATAATAAGCTTTGACTATAATTTCGCATAATACTTATTTAGTTATACGGCATTCAAATAGGTAAAAGTACATGAGAGAAGCGTAGAATGGTAAAAGAGAAACAATAACAAAGCAAGTCATGTTCTCATCAAACGAACGAGACATAGAAGCCAATTATCTAATTGGTCGGACAAAGTCGTATGATTATAAAGTTTGAGGTGAAAAACGGTTATTTATTTAACCCAATCTGTAGGCCTAACGTTGGGTAAATTTGTTATGCCATTGTAATTGTACTTGACCATTGATGAGACACCAATACAGAACGCAGTCTACATCAATGTGCCAAACCTATAACATAATCATGACTACGCCTTGAAGCTTGCCATTGTTTGTAAAATGAATCGGCGAGAGCAATTAAGATAAACTCTATTACACAGTCTAGAAATGGGAATAGCCTAAATGCGAGATAATCCATTACATTTTATACATTACGGCAAAGATGCAACGTTTTAGTATTTCCACGATTTAAACTTGGTCTCTCCTCTCTCCCAATACCATGCTTGGCAGTATTTATGTTGGACCAACATCCGTGAATGTCGAGCTAAATAACACATATGACATTGAATTTATTTTAAACATGCAGGTTCAAATGCGTTGTTTTAACTAGTCCCCCACCCAACCATATTAATATGTCAAGTTAATAAACATAGTGATACTACCATTGGACAGCTTGAAACATCGGATACAACTGGCATTTCCACGTGTTTGCACGTTTACTAATCCATTTATCAACATTCCCTACCTCAATTATAAGCTGTTGCATTTTGCGAGCGATAACGATAATTGTCCTTTTCGAAAAGAAAAAGCGAGGGACGAAACGTGATCAAGTGTAGTACATCTCTAATACGGTTGTGAAAGTAGAATTACCAGTGTGTTGTTGGTGTTGGTGTTGTTGTTGTCGTCATCGTCGTCGTCGTTGTTGTTGTTGTTGTTGTTGTTGTTATTGTTGTTATTGCTGTTGTTGCGGCTGTTATTGTTGTTATTGCTGTTGCTGTCGTTGTTGAAAACCCTCGTAGCCAAGTAACTAGACTCGAATCAGAGAATCGGATTTTTCCAATATGCAAACGATTTAAGAGTGTTTCATTTCATATTTCAGATATTTTGAAACCCCCCAGGATCTCAAAACCCAAACCACCTCCGACCTTTGTTCCGTGTTTCTTAATATTTATCTAATAGTTAAGCTTTTCTGCACGAAAACGTTGTCGAGGAACGACGGAATGACAGTAAACATAAATGGTTGTCTTGGGACTTTTGTTGTGTGATACATTAAAAATCGAGTAAATTACAACCTAATAAATGATATCCAAACATTGATTTTTGACCCAATTACAAACATCTGTACGGGTTATTCAGACCAATTACGCCCCATGCACCACCACTGCACAAACCTCAAAATGCCACCCCCCCCACCCACCCACCTCCCCCCCCTTCGAGGTTAAAACCAGAAACTCCTTAGGTTACCCGAACAAACCTTTTACAGTCTTCCTTTCTCCTTATTACCTTCCTTCTCCACACTCGTTGCTCTTAACTCACTTTTTAACTACTCGACCAACTACTAACTAAATATCACAAAATGCAAGCGATTAAATGTGTTGTTGTTGGCGACGGGTAAGTCATGATGCAAGAATAAAAAAGAAAGGGCATGAGAGAGGCGAACGAGCTAGTGATGGAGAGTCAAAATGTGAACCAATTCCCGTATTTTTATGGTATTAGCCGGTTTTCAAGGAGAGGATGCAATGCGGTCACCTATAGGAAATATGTTGATTGATATGAAGCAACTGGCGTGCTATGAAGCCCGCGAGGATTAGTGTAGTAAGAGGGTCTTAGTAATTGTCAAAGGCAAAAGTACTTGATATAGTGTATAAATATAATGCTTGCGGACTGTCTAGATGATAAACATTGCATGTCAGAGAGGATATGATTATGTACATATAACGTAAATTATTATGAAAAGGGAATTGTCATGAATATATATGTTCGTCGGCAGAAACAATAATTTTGGAGAATACTAAATACACTAAAAAGTCGCAAAGCCCAATTAATTAACAAAAGACGTTTATCATTTTTTCTCATAGTGCTGTCGGCAAGACTTGTCTTTTGATCAGTTATACTACCAATGCTTTCCCCGGCGAATACATTCCTACTGTGTAAGTATGATTATGTTGCAAGGAATACCATGGTTTAATAGTAGGAAGCGAATACTCTATTGAGCGACAACTTGATGCCTTCATATGAAAACTTTTTTTTTACATCTTATTGCGTTAATATACGTTTTAAAGTCAACTTTATTCAATTAAGTTTTATTTTCTGCTCTGGTTTTCCTTCAAAACTCTTTTATTCGCATAACTTAATTAATGGATTTCTTTTTTTACTTCCTCCCATTCGATTAATTAATTAGGTTTGACAATTATTCTGCCAACGTCATGGTAGATGGTAAACCGATCAATCTGGGTCTGTGGGATACTGCTGGTCAAGAAGACTACGACCGTTTACGTCCGTTGTCATATCCGCAGACCGACGTCTTTCTTATTTGCTTTTCTTTAGTAAGCCCACCTTCGTTCGAGAACGTCAGAGGCAAGGTGAGTTGGTTGAATATTTGTGGCGTAGTAGAGAAACGCAATTTGATTGGCAGTGACCAATCACATAATGCGATAGTCACTTAGTATTGTTGTGTTGTTGTTCAATAGAATCGATTAACTAATTGTTCCCATTTTACCCGAAAAAAATCAGTGGTATCCCGAAATTACCCATCATGCTCCAAACATTCCAATCATTCTCGTAGGCACAAAGCTTGATCTGCGAGAGGACAAGGAAACAATTCTCAAACTCCGCGCTAAGGCTCAAAGTCCCATTACATATCCTCAGGGACTCCAGATGGCCAAAGACATTTCTGCAGTTCGCTATCTTGAATGTTCTGCTCTTACTCAAAAGGGTCTCAAGAATGTTTTCGATGAAGCTATTCGTGCCGTCCTCTGTCCCGCACCCGTACCAAGGCGAACGAGGAAATGTTCGATTCTGTGAAGTAGTAAATTTATTCAATAAGGATTCGAGAGAGCTGTAATTGATTTTGGGATTGATTTTGTGGGTATATCGTTTGTATAGTTTATATACACGTAGTCTAGAGTGGCTAATTAGGTGCTCTTTTTTCGGTTCCTTTTGGCCCCGGAATTTTTTTTATTATATCATATTTGTTTGTCCATTATTCATTCTTTACAAAAAAAAATATATATATACATTTTTATATATATATATGCATATAGTTGGTTACACATTGAATATAGCATTTCATGTTCACTGAGTGATCATAGAACTAATAAAGAAGAAACTTGTAGTCGCATCAGTAATAAAAAAAGAACAAAAAAAAAGTCAAACGAAAAATAAGCAATTTCCTGTTTTATTTTCAACAAATTGCCAATTACAATAAAAAAAGATGGAAATCGTGCTTTATTCATTAACTGGGGGTAGTTTATTCATTCAACGTGTACATTCACGTGATATTAGTGTTTAATTGACTCACATGACTTTGCCCAAAATTTTTCATACTAATATCCCACATATCGACACCCTCTTTTTCCCTTCTCGTTCAGTATCTGTAGGATCCCTCATCCTAATAACATCGGATGTGAGTTTTCCATCCATCGCTGCCTCATTCGCGCCATTCTTCCACGTAAATTATATAAGCTACCTCTCTACCAGTAGATTACAAAACCAGATGGATGCAAAACTGCAAATCTACGGATTAGCCGGGCCCATATTTTCATAATCCGCACAGTTTCACTAAATCATCTGCTTTCTATTTGAACACCCTTTTCTACCTAGTAAACGACCTATCATGGCTGAAAACAAGATAGCGAAGCCGGCAGGAATGCCAATCGATGAGCTTGAACATCAACTAGCTCAGGCCTTGTATGATTTGGAGAATAATGTTACAGACTTTAAAAAAGACCTGAGGCCATTGCAATTCAAAGAGGCTAAAGAAGTATGTAGAGATTGAAGAGAGAAAAAAAAAAAAGAGGGGGGGAGAGTCAAAAAAAAAAAGACGTGATTAAGGAGGATATAGTGACAAAGGTGTACAAGTATGTGAAGAGGACGCTAATACTGGATCGTAACTTGTTTTAAAAGTATGAGATTGGTGGAGGCAAGAAAGCGATTGTTATGAAAGTCCCTGTTCCAAAGTTAAAGTTATTCCAAAGAGTTCAGCAACGGTAAAGAGATTTTTTAATTCCCTTTTTGGATCTTTGTCTTTGAATCATGTAATTCAAATAATGTAAACTTTCTTTCTGCTTGAATAGGCTCACCCGTGAATTAGAGAAGAAGTTTTCGGATCGCCATGTCGTATTTATTGGAGACCGTCGAATCTTGCGCAAGCCAGGTCGTAAATCCCGTGTTAAGCAGGCACGTCCTCGAAGTCGCACATTGACAGCTGTACATGAGAAGTGGTTGGAAGATCTCGTACATCCAACTGAGATTGTGGGTCAGAGAACACTTGTGAGAGCTGATGGAAGCAGATTGATCAAAGTGTAAGTGTTACTGCTGCTGCTGCTGCTGCTGCTGCTGCTGCTGCTATTGCTGTTGCTGTCGTTGTATTTTATTGTCATAATCTCGTTAGTATTTTGAAAAAAGTCAGTACAGGTGTTAAAAGACACATAATATAGATAAAATGACTAAAGTTCAAATTTGTTCGTGCAGGTTCCTGGATAACAAGGACTCTACGTCTCTCGAGTATAAACTCGACACGTTTTCGGCTGTTTATCGGAAGATGACAGGAAAAGATGTCTTATTTGATTTCCGTCAAAGTCAGCTCGAATAAAAATGATATCATTATTCTTTAATGTTGTAAGTAAATGGCGTAGATTTAAATGTTGTACCTTCATATATATTTGCTTGTTCTTCTATATGTAATAAGTACAAATAAAATGCATGGGAAAGATTAATATACATCAATCTTAATTTAGAAGAAAAATAAGCAATATATGTGAATTTATGATGATTTTTCAGAGAGATGTGGTCATCATTCTTCAGTGAGAAGTGTTCGGTGGAAAAACAACGAATATATCGAGTCGGTTATCTACGGAGAGGAGATCATTCAGCTACTTGTGATCAGCTGACATTAAGGTCAAAAGTTTCTAGTGCTTCGATGACATCTTACGCGATTAATATGATTTTATGATCCCTCTGTCAATTCTATAACGATAGCAGTAATAAATAATTGTGTTATGAGGTCTCCTGATGCATTACCAACAATTCATAGCAGTGGTAGATATCAATTAAGGCTTACTTGTAGATCTCTCAACAAGTCAGGAAGTAATTCTATATTGATATGTTGTGTATGAGCATTCACACTTGCAACTGTTCGTTAAAGTTAAAACAAAAACGTCGGTTAAGCGAACGCGGTACAATCTCGCCTCTTTTTCAATGCATAATAACGAATGTCGTAAAATCTTTACGACAATATAGACTTTTAATTAAAACTTTTTTACCTTTACTCAATTCTTACAATTTATTATACAACCTAAACCCAAAAACTTATTTACTTTCAAAACATGCATCAACGAGATCTCTCGCTTGTTCCAATTTGGCAATTTTGGATAAACTTTCCTGTAGAACGCATCAAAAAAGTTAATAAGCAGAGCACAAGAGGACTCGCAAACATTAACAGAAAAGACTTACGTTATTAAGCCTGTTAACCGTACTGATGATATCGCGATATTTTGCTACAAATTGATCACGCTTTGGCGTTTCTGGTTTTTAATTGGAGAATTGATTAATACTACTGATGTCATACACCCTCTAATCGGTACGGTAAGATACCTTTTTCTAACAGTTCACTTTCATTCACGCAATCGTCATCCAAACCAGTGAATTCAACGTTCATGACGGCGGCAGATTGCCTTTTCAATGCTCCTTCCATCAATAGTTTAATATCCTGCGGAACACGCTTATAACGTTCGGCCAACTCCATTTGGAGATCGTCTACTCTTTTTTTTAATGCCACTTGCTCTTGATAAAGAGCCTCGTCAAATGGTTCATACTCTATTGAATAGTCAATAACCATCTATCATAAGGTTTGCCGATTTCTTAAAATATTCCAAGTTGCCCGCTCACTAACCGTCTTCGTTTATGGCTTCTTTGTAATTTATTCTGTTGACGACAATGTTCGGCGTTGCCAACTTGAAAGTATTGTCAACCCACTATACAAAAAGTCAACAACGATCAGTCTGCATTTATTCAAACGTATGCATACTGATACGCTTTACAGACCTCTTTCACCAGTGTCGTAACCGTCTCTTTTAACTTGGCGTCACAACCCGTTCCTAAGGATTTATCCACTTCTTCCAGGGCTGCTTTGAGTATGTTTCTTTGAATGTATGGTACATCTTCCTTGGATTCTACTTCGATTTTTGGGATTTGTCGTTCGGAATCCATTGTATTAATATTAGTGTTATGGAGTAGTGGACGCGTAAATATCGATATTTAATATGGCTTGACGATCGCGCGCCGATTGTGTTACTACGCGTTTACCAAAAAAAGAAAAAACTCTTTTCTACTCAACTTCAAATCTTGCATACTCAATCATTCGAAACATTAAAAGCGTTTAGTGCAGCGGGAAGTAAATCTCTTTCTAAATACTCTGTTAGAAAACAACCTAGTGTTACGGTCCTCCTCATTCTGCTTTGCGTCAGAATGGTCTCGCAGCTTCAGATCTCGGAATTTTGAATATGATGTTAGGGAAATAGCATAAGGCTAATATTGATATATCGTTTAAATTTTCACTAATGAACCATATGTTAATTATTGCTTGATAGACCACCAATAATCGCTTTGCCTTGAATTGGCATCTAGTATGAGCCATATCATACCAGGTAAGCTGTTGACTCATACGTCACTTTATAACATTGATCTATACGTACAATGTCCACATTATATGCGTTCAGGTTTGTTATTTACGCACGATGGATATGAACAAAAGTAGTGTCTAATAAACGGAGAGAGATTACGTCTGGCATGTACAGCAGCATTTTGACTCTAGTACGCCTGCATTCTGTTTCAAACGTAAAGCACAACACCTCTCGATTACGGACAACAAGTCTTTGTCGCTTTATAAAAGCCTGATGGGGAGATGATTACCAAATATATTTTATTGCTTATCCTTTTTTGCTTTTTCCAGAATACTGATCGTTGTTTTCAACATGTCGCTTATGTTATCAACGGAAGGTATACTCTGCATTGACTTGACCACGTCTAACGAATCCCTCGCGTTTGAATTGGCTATATTCACTTCATTACCAACAGTTTTCATACCCTTCTGTTGAAAATCAGAATGATCATAATTAGAGACGCAGGCACAGGGAAGTAAAAATCAAAATGTAGCCATACCTTTTCCTCCACTATTTGAGGTAATTTTTTATGAATATAGTCAGTGATACGGTATAAGCCAAGTGAAGAGTCGTTCATTAGATATCGAGTACAGCTCTCTATATCTTCCGTGGCTGTATCAAAATGCGAAACAGAAATCAAATGTCTTTTCTTGGTTTATTCTTTTCCATCGAAATCGGTCAAATACCATTTTTCATACCCTTATATTGCTTTCTCACCTTTCTTTGCCATATCTCTCAAGGCTATTTCTGGACCCTGTGCATTAATGCTAGTGCCGCTACTCGTAGCGCTACCAGTAAGAAAATACAGCCCAGAAGGAGGCCCTTGATCCGATATTATGGAGGATATGGAGGCAGTCAAAGAATTCGCAAATGTCTCGACGTTGTGAGTGGGAAGGAAGCTTTCAGGTCGCAAGTCCATTGAAAGAATGATAGTTGTTGCCGATCGGTTCACAAAATAATGGTCACAAAATTCGATTTAAGTTATTACTAATACTATACTATTACTATGGTGTCAATCTCTACCAACAGTCCATGTGTAGTCAAGTCGTTTGAATCATTTTTACGTGGTTGTTGATGATATGGACGATGCTATCCAGCCGTGTTATCATTTTATTTAAGAATAGTACCATCAGAGAAGTCTATAACTGGAACTGCGATTATCGATATACTCGATTAGTTCATCCAGTCTATGTCTCTCCCTGTCATACATATCATGGCCATCCTCGCAAAAAGAGGTGCTAGAAACCACGAAATTTAAAACTCAAGGAGTTTGCATGATTGTTTCAGTAGACCATGTGGCACTAATACAGTTGACCTGTCAAAAAAGTCGCGTTTGTAATTTCAACTTTAAACCTGTGATTATTATTATATTTGGCCGTGATAATAAATTAACGTTTCCAAAATACGATGACGATTGACTTGGAGGAACAATATTAACATGATTGTGTCAAAAACTTGCAACTAGCCAGAATTGGAGCAGATACATATCGTTGAAAACAATCACATACATGTCATCGATAACGATGTTAAAGCATCATACGATAGCATTCGCTCCCTTTATTGATAAAGACTCGGAAACAAACATGATCAGATCCTTACTGCGAACCTTTTTTTTTTCTTTCTAATGACGGAAATGTTGATCGCAAAGTGTTTCGCCTCCTGTCAAAATAGAGCATTGCAAAGCTATAAAAAGTAACTGACGGAGAAGAGGCTAAATGTCACAAATTTATTTGGACGAATAAGAAATGATATCTTGGATTACTGCTGTCCAATGTCACAGGCAAATATTTGAAAAAGAAAGGAAAAACACCCTATCCCCCAAAACCATATCACATCAAATATTGTCACAATTTATTCGAGCAAGATCGTATATGCATACTGTAATTAAAAGGTTCGGGTTACCGGGACAATTTGACAGCCCTCATTTGAGGTTAATCTCGCATCTTGTGCAAGTCACAAAATGAAAGACGTAAAAGGTCATAAATAATTAAGCAGCTTTGCCATTGTTGGCCGTCCCCCGGTCGAGCTTTTTCTTCTTCTTCTTCTTCTTTTCCTCTTTTTCTTTTTGGATGATATGAGTTAATAAAGCGCCAGCATATTAGTGGATTTCGATAAAAAAAACCGCAAATATTACGGGTTCTTTCCATATTGCTGGAAATTGCAAACTAAGCTTGATCGGCATGCGTGATATGATGCGTAGAATTGTAGAAAACCATTAAAGTTCAATGTTGTTTGTGTATCATATTGATATTTAACGCTGATCTGTGTGTACTGTATGTGTATGTGTATGTGTATGTGTAAGTATGTGTATATGTGTAAGTATATGTGTATGTGTAAGTATGTGTATATGCGTAAGTATGTGTAAGTATGTGTAAGTATATGTGTATGTGTATGTATTGTAATTCGTGGAAACGACATAGGGGTTATATAAATTATGGCATGTAAAAATAGATAATAATTACCGTTCAAAATCTGTGCATCCACCCGTGTTTGCCTCATATGTAAAATAGAGAAAAAAACCAAACTTTCGAACTAAAATTAACGAGGATCCATGCCCGAAGTACAATTCTGTAAGCTTAACTGGATACTTGTAGGGGCAAAACCAATAGAATGTTGCCCAGCAGAGGATCAATCTCGGGCACATATCAACACAACTTTTCATTCGATAGTTCATGGTTTTAACCTAACCCCATTTACATGCCAGTTACATTCATTTATGTTATATGATCATTTACAATTATCAAATCCATTGAACGCACACCATTTCCTCAATCCTTCTCTCTCCTGACATTCGCATCGATGCATTACTATTATGATTCTTATATGCAAATACAGACTAGAATATATATGATATAAGTGATAAGAACGATTGAAAATGAATACAGCTTATACTTAAAATGAAGTTCTATGTACATGAGAAAATAATTCGTTTTGACTATGTTTTATGCCTTTGCTCATTAGAACGATCAACGTATTGAAAGACAAGTATGTGTGAATCATGCATCCAAAGGAACAAAAACATCCCGTCGAGAACATGAATATGACGGAGAGGGGTGGGGGTGGGGGAAAAAGATGTCAAAATAAATGAAATACAAATACAAAATATACTATATCAAAATGCATAATTACTGCTAAGAATTGGCCAAACAATGTAAAGAATATTAGCAAAACTTTTTTTTTCTGCTCAATGTAAAGAGGATATATATATATATATATGTATATATTACCAATATTTCGCCACACTATTCTCAGCTCGCTATACAATCATACAAACAAAAACCCTCCAATGAAAGATAAAACATCAGAATTGTCGCCTGTGTTAAACGCGGTCACGTATCCACTATCGTTATGTGTCCCTGATATCCCTTGTTACTCCTTCTTTTCGTATCGAAAGTCGTTAGTTATCACAGTGATCTTGACAGATCGATTAGTCGTGGTCATGACCGTTTGTAACGCTGCCTTTGTCACCGTCGGTGCTTTCAGCCTTGACTGACAAGTCTGCTTGTTTTCCAGGCTGATCGTCATCGAGCCATCTTTGCATAACGTATTTTGTGCATTTCTCTGCGCCCGGTAGCTCCTATGGGACGGGTAATGAGAATAAAATTATGTGCAGGAATATTGACAATGAGTTATCATTAAATCCCATATGAAAGAATAAATCAATTATTAATACGACATTATTGTATTACACCCTTCCATTGTTTTGCATTAATGGACAATATTGTTAATACTATATTATATAAATGGAATAACAGCTCCCCCTGTTTGTGCTCTGGTGCAACATAAGTTACCATTGGTTCTGCAAACGCTGATTACCGATCTGACTCACCTGAATATATTTAGTAATCCCTAAATGACTCAGTCCGAGCATCTCAGGTCCACTCGCGTGTGTCTTGGATGGAACTCCCTGACAATTAATCTCGTCGAGTATTTTCTTCCAGACTCCACTCGACGAACTGGCGGAGAATTTGCGTCCGGGTTGATCCGCGGCAGTAACCTGAAACTGATTACGTCAATGTAAGAAATTACGATTAATCAGCTATTATGATCATTGGTAACTCCAGAGTGTTGGTCTGTTCAATATATTGGGCAATAAATAGAATGGCGTTAGAATCTCTTACAATCGGAGTATCACCGCCATCAAGAATTTCGCTTGTGTAGGTGGTCCTTTTTGTCACATCCACTGCGCTTAGATACTGTTTCTTACTCATGAAACCGACGGGGAAGATGTAACGATTTGTATGATATGCTTCTCTGTCCCATACAATGTTACCTGTTAGAACAAAACAATATATCCAAGACATTAATTATTATAACCGCACG